ACTACATTGTGCGAGAGGTGTACTACGCGTGTAAACAGTCGGAGAGCCTGGTCGGTTTAAGTTTGTACCGGTAATCTTAAGTGTAGTCTCTGTTAGCACGTAGGTAGACATATACACAGGCCCTATTATCCAACACGAGACGCCCCAATGCGAGCACCGAAGGTGTGAGAAGTAAGGACGGCGAGACGCAGATTTCACGAATGTCCGGAATCAATGAAAGTTTTTGATTCTCAATAACAAATATGACAGCATACCCGTATTACTACTTGTTGTACTAACCCCCCTGTATATGTTTTCACTGTCCGATGATATTGACAGCGTTAGGAAGTAAAATCCGTTGCCACAGTAAAAATTAAACATTTCCCACACGTTCAATGGCAGTCATAGTGATGACCATATTTCGGCACGATTTCGACTGATGTAATGCCGCCCACCCTGATTGAATAAAATTAAAAGCAGCCATTTTTTTTACGTGGTGGTAAACTGTAATTCTCACAATTATGAATATATGCTATATACCTGTAGAACATGATGGACAGTTTCAACCAAAGACGCCGGAAGACACAATACAAACTAGAAACGTTATCGCCCACTGTATTTTAATTAAAAACATTTACATTTTTTCTAAAGAAAGTCGCGATTTGATAAAGTCGTGAAAATTGTGCGTCCTACCTTCTCACACCTTCGGTGCTCGCATTGGCGGGTTCGTGTTGGAATAATAGGGACCTGTGTACATACATGGGAGAATAACATTAAACAGATTTACATCAAAAACATGAAAATAGAAAAAATACCTGTCAATCTAAATCTTCACCTGACCCAGATCTATGTGATCTGCGATACCACTGTAAATTTTGTTACGAAGCTAGCTTGCATGGAATCTATCTCCGGACCAAATTAATAAACTTATTGCCTGGATTTCGGCCAACCTCCGCAATCGACACTCGCCCCCTCTGATGGATTGAATTTGGCAACTGCTTGAAGTTCCTCCTCAGAGATGTAGATGACTGCCGCGATCGTCATAAACCCCTGTGAGGTCGCCAGCTGTCCAGCAGCGCCTGCACACGATCGATGGCTTCCGTGCACTCAGTCTGAATTCAGCAGCCAAGTCCTCTGAACTGAACGCACCTGTAATGTCAGACGTAAAAATATCACATCCATATTAGTCACATATAGGCAAGACAGGGAAATCTGTCGATCCTTATACACATCAGGATCTCTATGCACGTCCCTTGTTGGTTAAACATGAAAACGTTATCTGTAATATCTTCATCATTACTGAAATAAGATTAAGAAGATAGGAAGATAGGACATTTTCCTGATAATAATAGATAAATGCAGCTGATAGAGATGAGAAGGTGAATCCAAGTGTAAACTCTTTTCCTATCGTGTCTGATGGTTTACTACTACAGTGGCGAGTCATCAAATACTTTTGAGCTTCAACCTCTGAATTTCCAAGAAACTTAAAGAACCATACCCTATTAACTAGCCCAGGCCACCCGTGTCAGGCTATAGCCTATATGTGCACTCACGTATTATCATCTCCATTATCAAAAGTAAGTGTGTTAGGTAGGCAGATTGTAACACAACCTAGCTGGGTTAAGGCTGGTGACTCAGGGCGGCTGTGATGGCTCTGAACAGCGGTACTTAAACCTCACCTTCGAATCGTAGTTTACAAACTCCTCGAGCAATGACTGAGACTCCTAGATCAGGCCTTGCTCGTCAAAGCCTCAGTTGTCCACCGTGAAGCAACTCCTTCATAGCGAGGTAATGCCTCGTGCTCTTCTTCTACCTGCTCCTCCTCTCGGATCCGCGCCTGGCTCCTCCCTGTTACACAAGGATAAGGAACTCATGGTCAAAAAAGGACCTCCCCTCCCTGAACATGCCTGGAAGACAACTTTAGACCGCTGTCTACATTTTTGCTCCATATTATCAGTATGGACATCTAAACAACAACAACGTGTAAATTAGACAGTGTAATGGTCCAAATGTAAAAATGTTTTTATGATTGTTTCCATATGAATGCATGTACGGGCAAAGTTCTGGCATAGATGCAAATCAGTGGCATTAAACAGGTATACTAAGCGCCCTCCAGACATGTCTTAACTTAACACTATATTAAAATACTGGATGTTTTGGCCTTGCATACACACGATGACAATGTCAGTGTGTAGACCCCAGGCGCGCTACTACCATTTGGCACTGCGCCACGTAGTAACAGATAACAAACGATCACGGTAATGAGCCGACCCCACTACTGGCTTCATTTCCTCCCAGCTTCGCTTCTTGCTTCCCCACGGCTTGCGCTTTTCCTCCTGTAACCTCGTTGTGCGTTTCTTTTCCTCCCGCTGTCCTCGTAGCTCGAGCCTGCCAAGTAAAAATCACAAACACATACTTACATCTGATACCAGAATAACAAATTTGCTAGGCCTGTACTGGCAGCTAATACTGTTGAAGCTGTGTTCAAAACCTCTAAATACCCCCAAATATTGCCATTAAGTCAGTTTGAAAGCATATCTTGACGAGTCTCCAGTGTTTTGCGCAAGAAATTTTGTTTTGTATAGTATCAACAATATTGATATGAAAAGGGGTGGGCTAGGCTGCATGATGAACCTGAACAGACGTAAATCCAACAAAAACGGTTAAAAAAAAAAAAACCCTTAAAATAATATTATCATATTGCGCAGTTGTCAAATCATATCACCGAATTCAGTTTGCCCACACCGCATACCGTTAGAATGACTGGTGCCATATTGCGTAATCACTAAATTTCAGCTGATCTTTGAAGCGGCAAGTATATGTGACTTAGTGCTTTTACACGAGATACATGCCCGGAATGCCATGTGAGGCATTTGCCTGCTCAATTGCTATAAGCCGAGCCCTTACGGGACAAACTGAATGCATTGCTGTGGACAGATGGTCATTCCCCGCGAGGCACGACTAATAACAGGGAAGATAAACTCGCACCTCTCTCTGCTTCGGCCCGGTCGGCACTTGGCTTCCACTTTCGCGACGGCTTTTCTTTGGCAACCGGATCTTGCCATCTGTGGCGCCGGCAGTAATCGAAGATAGTCGTCATCCTCCTGCTCAGGCACCGCCTAAATCGAATCCCGTCTTCATCCGAGCTGAAGCAAACAAAGTGAACGTGTACCGTGTCTACAACCAAATGTGTCTCACCTGACCAACCTAGGATGGCTCTACAGCAGGTCACGAAATAATTACACAATAAGGATGGTTTGTTAAATGTTATCGTTCTACAATTTCAATCATACAGATGTGAAAGGGAAATTTGCATTACCGTCGCTCACAGTCAAGTGACGCACAGTCAGTGTAGATGGCAAGGCAAATGTAAACTAATGTAATTAAATTAGGATCTTTCAGTTTTACATAGTTTATCCATCTTCCTGTCGCATCGTGCCAGGGCGACCTCAGTCACATTACGTCTACCGACGACGCAGCTGAGGAACGCTTCATTTCTTTGTGGCAAGGTAGGACTCGCTGTCGTGGCACAGCTGCCCTCTTTATAGTGAACAAGACCGAGAGACAATGTAGAAGTTATTCATAGAATCATACCTTATAAAAAGGTCAACATGCATAACCACTGTATCACTGTCATTAAAAAGAAAGCAATATGCCATGCATAATGATTTTTATGTTGTATGAGTATCTCTCAGTCTTCTAGTAAGAGAAGGTCCTCCGTTAGCTTACCACATGGTAGTTCTTTGTTCGCCAACTACAGGACTAAACGACTCACAGTGCTCCAAGATAAATAGCAATTGAATTTCACATGGGCACCAACCCAGACAGGCACTTGGAGCGTTCAATATAAATATAATGCTAAATAAATTCGAAAATTAATTTACTACCCAAAGTCTTAATGTTTCTAGTATCTGTTTTCACGCTAATATGGCCGGACAATTTCCCTGTAAACTGCCGTCCAAATGCTCATACGCTCAAAAAGGCTGGCTGCCGCCATGGCTTGCCGCTGCACACTGAGCGACGAGTAAATAATATATATAGTATATATAGATACTTATATATGAATATATATATATAATATATAGACTATATATTTTATGTGTCAAGTGAGTGCAGCGCAGCGCAGCCGTTCGTCTACACGCACGGTTAGTTACGCTGAAGGGATCGTTGTGGTATATGTAACGCCGACGGGTCGGCGAGGTATGTCAACTACGCCCTACTGCCCTAAACCCTAACCCTAACCATACTCAAAATAGTTACCAGTCGGTACGATATTATACAGCCATTAATACGTAAAACGACCTTTTTGTTCGTTAGTTAGCGCAGATAACGTCATGTCTCCTTGGGTACGTTCCTGGGAATATACCCTAGTTAGGGGGGGGGGAGGGGGGGGGGGGGGAAGGGGGGGGGGGGGGCGGGGGGGGGCGGGTGGGGGGGGGGTGGGGCGGGTCCGTAATACCGGAACGTACGCCCTGGTAACTATCTGATATGGTTAGGCAGGGCTTCGCCGCTTAACTTTTTTTCAGGTGGCCGCCGGGCCCACTTGAGTATGAGGATT